AAGGCCTCGGCTCCGTCAAATCATGTGGAACCCGGGGCAAGGCGACAGGGGGATCCTTCCGGTTAAGTCCACGAGTCCAGAGCCCAACGCCCGGGCTCTTGTTCAGGGCTCTAGTGGCAGAGGAAATATAACAATCACACGTAGAAATCTTTCAAACACAATAACCCATCTCCCACAATACGCATGGCCAGTCCTGGTTTGCGTGCCTTTCTGACTCCTGCCTGGCTGTGCACAGCGACCGAGGCAGCTATGATGCGACTGCGTCACTGCCGATGAGGTTGACAGAAAGTGTTCTGAGTGTAAGGTAGGGTTGCGTGGAAGTTATTGTTGTGTGGCGCACTTCCAGCGTGTGCCACACCAGAATAGTTTCCTCCAGATCCAGCCAGCACTTCCAGCAAGCGCCACCGACCAGCGCTACCGCAGCGTCCAGCAGACGCATATCGACGATGCCGGGTCTCGCCGCGTCTGATCTACCCCCGGAGACGCTCCACCCAGGCGACACACTCGAGTATTTTAGCAACGCCTTCGTCTTTGGCGACCCTAGAGACCACCGCGTAGCTGTTGTTACGAAAGTCGATGCTAGGAAGGGCGTCGACTATCCTGTGACTCTCGATACAGGCGACGTCATCAGTCTGACCATGATGACGAAGCGGCTGGCAGACCGCTTCGGGAGACTGCTCAAACCTGACACCACTAAGTGGCGCAAGCTACGCACGTATGAGTTGGCCGCCGGATCCTGCTCGGCTCCTTCGCGAGCCATCTCATTAAAAAAAGCCTTAGAAGACGCCGTCAAAGCGTCAATAGAAGCAGTCTACAGGGCGCTTCGAGACGTGCCTGATGAGATCGTCCAGGAGAGCCCGCAGTCGGACGACTTCGACAGCGAGGACCCGGCCTCGAGACCCGCCGACCCGTCCAGCACACCCAATATTCAGGCCACCGCCCTTCCCAACCCTTCAGAAGACAGTGAGCTATTGGAAGACAAAGCCAAAATTGAGGAAAAGACTCCAAGTTCTTGTATTAATCAAGTTATCGACTTAGTTTCTTCAGAAGAAGAGGAGACGATGCCTAGAAACGATAAGATGGACGCCGCGCCATCCGATGAGAAAGTGAAAGAGGCTGCAGCCTATCTCAGCACAATTCCGAGCCGCTACGCCCGTGAGAAGATCCGCCACCAGCCAAAAAAGCGCAATGGTCAGTGGCACGTGCCCAGATCGAGGAAACGTCGGGATCTGATGAAATGTGCCATTACAAGCAGTGGCAACGCTATCTACCACGCTAAAACAGTGAAAGCTGTTAAGATTCAAACTCTATTGAGCTCCCCGGAGGTTAAAAGTCGTCTAAAGAATCTACACGCTCGCCGCACTACCTACCCTGATCCTACGACCCGAAATGAACGCGTCCTATTGACTGAATTCCCTGGCCTGCCGGCATCGAGAAGATCAGTAGTTGCAAACGCAACGGAGTCAGGTTTCCCGATATTGGGAAGTTTGACTCGTGTGCGTGTGTTGGTGATTGCTTTTGGGACTCGTGTAGAAACGTAGACTCTGCTACGTTCTGCACACCGCGTTTGTGCAACCTGGATGCGAAGTGTAGCAACGCTCCTCGCACTCTGAAAACTCTACGACTTTTTGACAGTGGTCGTGTCGGATTAGGCGTCTACACTACAACAGATCTCGACGTTGGAGACGTCGTTGGTGAATACTGCGGGGAGCTGAGCGAGTTCCCTACCGTGGTGCATGGCCAACCTGACCAGGCTGTAAAGCAGAACAGCGGCTACACGCTGCTGTACAACGCGAAGTCCACCAAAAAAAACTACGTCTACGTAGACGCTTTGAAGTGCGGATCCATCACCCGCTTCATCTCGCACGCGTGTGACCCCAACGCGGCATTCGTAGAGCAACAGACCCGGACTCGAGTGAAAGTTCTCGTAAAAATGATCAAAGACGTCAAGGCCGGTGCACAGATCACTGTGCACTATGGCAACGAGCGATGGTTCAAGTGCGCGTGTGATGACTGCTGGGCCGAAAACGACAACGAAGCCGCCAATTCGGGGACTGAGTAGGCGGTATCAATCTACGACGCAATTTCGAGTTTGTTTTGAGTTTTTGGTTACATGTATTCAATGAACACGTATTTCTCTGTATTAAAGTTTTGTTTGACCTTTATGACTTGTCTTCAATTTAAGAATTCGCTATTAAGAGTTCCAGCATATTTATAAGAACAGTAACGTTAACAAGCGATTGATGTAGATGTTAATCAGCACACCTGTAATGCATACTACCTGCGGAATTCGTTGAGATCGTATCGGAGTCGGTGTTATCAAAGTTTGGGAATGCGAGACGATAAACAGTAACGAACACTCAAATTAAAAGAAGAATTGAAAGAAGAATTAATACATTCATACACAGCTTACTCCAAACTAGATTACAATCCGCTGGATCATTCCAAACTTAGAGCTGGTCCATTAGTTCGTGGTCGTCCGGGTTGTTGCACAACAGCAACCTCGCCTCGTTTCCGCTTGCGTCGACTGACGAGTATGTCTCGCCCGCTGCTGTCGACGTGAGCGGTAACACGGAGCGCGTAGAGCACGTGAATACACGTACCAAAAGCAAAGCAATAGTCACAGCCGCACCACTGGCGCTCCACATCGACCGCCCAGCCACCCAACGGCTCGCGCTCCACCTCTTTACGGGCGTAATTGGCCCCCATCTGCGCCGACACCGCGATGCCCTCCTCGCTGCGTTTGTTAGGAGCCACGGCAACGCGGGGAGCCGGCAATGATATGACACGTAGGATAGGATAGCCCCCAGCACGCACATTGTCCACGTTCTGACCTTCTGCCAGTCCTAACAAGCGTGCCCGAACCAACTCCGACACCCTGCGTGCGAGGGTTGGTGTCGGGCACACTCCAAACTCGAACGCACGCACGCTGCTTGACTGGTCTTGACAACAGGCCGATAGCTCTCTAAGAAGTGAACCCATTTTTAACCTACGCCGTAGAGTGTAGTCCCGTTTTAAGAGCGCATTAAAAGTCTCGGCGGGGTTGTTGGTGGAGGCGTACCCGGTGGGTGTTAGGAACACCTGCCAGCCCGTGAAGAGCCCGCTAAGCCATTGCCCGTACATGTAGTTCGCAAAAGGAATCAAAGCTGGTTCCCGAAGCCAGCGCTTCAAAACGGAACGCAGCATCTCCAAATACGCCATTTCGCAACGAGCGAAGTGTAAGTCATAAATTTCGCGTAGTATAGTGCACACCACACCCGAGGAAAACGGCTTAATAGCCGCCTGTACCTTCTTCATGACGTGGAAGAAGCACATGAGGAAGCGATAAGAGGGGTTGTCTCCAAAAACAGCCCCAAGGGCATTGCACTGCGCCTTGTCGCCGTCAGCCATAGCGTAGTTTACTTGTAGGTCCTTGTAAGTGATCCAGTAGTATAGACGGCGAAGAGCCAATAAAGTTGCTTGAAATACAGCCTGTGTCTCTTGGGAGATCACAAATAGAGCGACCAGGTGAAATCTACGTGAACGGTCCGATATCCCCACAACCAGAACGGGGTATTCGCACTGGTTCATCTTGTAGGTAGCATCCAAATGTAGAATAAAGCTCTCGGGAGGCACCATCAGTCTCAGTATCAATGCCTTCGTCGAGAGACCCACGATGAAGGGTTTCTCGTCGGAGCCATTGCCAACTGTGGGCTTCCCGAGACTGTCGAGTTGCCACCCGAACGTGAATGCTTCCGTCATCGACTCAGAGCCTGTGTAGGCGCGGGCGTGGACCCAGGCTCGTAGTTCTTGCACTCTGTCGTGATTTTCCATGTAGGTCCGAGAATAGTTGTTTACAAAGTTCTGTACGGTCTTCAGAGTTGGTAGGTCATCGAGCGGCGTGCCGAACTTACGAGACAGAGCGTGCCTGATACGCATGGGCCGCAGGTGGTTGTCCGCGAGCTCGCGGCAGTAGGCTTTCTGCGTAGATGTAAGCTTTTTGCGTGTTAGCGCCGTCGCCATTGTGTTGTGAGTTCCATACTCGAAGATCGACGCGTGCTCGGTCTCCAGGCACGTGACGATCTTGCCCCGCCATGCACACTCTAGCGTAGTGGCCTCACAGCACGCCTGGCAGCTGCACACAAGCAAGCGGTATCGCATCTTGTGTTCAGCTTCCGGGCAAATGGTGCATGCCATCGTTTGGCTTTTGTCGATATCAAATGTCTTGAGAGTCTCCAGCACCGCGTCGGCTGCGGCCGCGTCGACGTTGGTGGCTCTCTCTTCCCAGGAAACGCGCTTCGGCATGCTCGCTCGGGTGGATATGGGGCTCCGGGAGTGTCGTCGAACACTCCAAAACGTGGTGTGAGCCACATGTACGTACAGCACGCGCTGATTGGTTAGTATCTACCTACCCTCACCCCGTTTGCGCGCTTCCCGCATCGTGCAAAAACTACACTAGCTATTGTGCTGCCACAGCAGTTTGCTGTGGTGACACGTCTTTACAGTGCTAACCAGATCACACTGTGCCATGATTGCACTGTTGTGTGTCGGTAAGGCGTTCTCCTAGTGGCACTAGTGCCAAGTTATTCAGGCTCTCTCCTACGCGATTTGATTGAACAGTTTTCGAGGATGCTTTCTAGAATCTAGATCTCTTCTCG